TGAGTGGTTTAAAACCCCGGTTCCGCCTTGGGCACCACTCCTCCTATGTATCCTCTGGATACCTACTTTAACAGGGTGTTGCTACTAGGGGTCTGTTAAGACAGTTCCTTCAGCATATACAGAGCGTGCGGTAGCCCCAAAACTAGTATGATTCTAGGCCCTTGGTCATATTCCCTTAAAGGAATCTATCCTGGTTTGTTTTTTGGGGTATGTAGCCTAGGCCTTTGGCCGTAGGGAATAATGTCACTGACAGCCATCTAACGTCCCAGGGGCAACTCTCTTGGCAATATGGTAGAGTTGGTACTTAGTGCTCGCCATGGTTTCTGGCATGCACTCCCCTCAGCATGGTGGCGTGGGTATACCGTTCCCCATAGCGACCCCTAGAGGACGCAGTTCGAAGTTCCCATGAAAGGGAACGTCTCAGGTTGTCTCCCGGCTCCTATTTATACTATAGTCGCATCAGTAGTGACGTCATGGCTGTCGCCGGCCAACGTGTTGTTGGTGTTTTTTCAATGTATGCTTCAGACACAGGTCACGACGAGGCGTTCTCCATAGCGACCCCTAGAGGACGCAGTGTCTCGTTCCCTATTCAGGGAACCATGGTTACATACGTAACCTGAGACATTTTTTATATATAAATATATAAATATGCATTTATACAATGCACATGTATAAATATACTTTTATGTAAAATGTATATATCAATTTTGCTCTTTACTATTTTTTTACAACTTCTTTTCACATTTCTGTTGCATACAAAGTCTCCAAATTCCAGAAATGTCAACATTTGTTAATTTTTTGTGAATTAATTTTATTTTAAATAAGTGAAATAAAACAATAATAATAATAAATCTGAAAGAAAATTAAGTATATAAATGAGATGAAAATGTAAACTGTTATTTAATGTATTTATCCACCTTTTTCTTCAACGCGGAAGTAAGCCTATGGGTGAGACTTCCGGTTCATTAGTCGCTATAGGTACATAACGAGGAGAATAATAACGTGCAGTAAACGGTAAAACTGTTTGCACTACAAACCAGTGTGTTCATAATTTCAGATAATACATTAAAATAATATGATAAGACACACCAACTTTCAATATCAAGCAGCAAGACGAACTGCTTTGTTCAGCTAAAAATAGCTGGACGGAGTGGACGCGGATGAGACCGGAAGCCAGACCCATATAATTTACAAATGGCCGTGCCCATTTTTACGACAAGAAAAAGGTGGATATATATATATTTTTTTCCAGTTCAATTAAGTACTAAAGTACTAAGTTACATTCATATGGTCATATGATCTCAACATGGCATGGTAGAATAAAACTTTTTTCTACACCACCAATAAGCTACAGAGTATTCATCTTACAAAAATTTACATAAATTTGTGTGAATTCTTTTCAGCCATTGTTTATATTATGATTTTATTGAGCAACTCTACCACAACCAATTTTCTTCTTTATTAGGTCCCCAACATTATTTTTTGCAAATTTTGTAAATAATGTTGATCATTTTTAATATTTTAGACTGCACTCATTACAGTAGGTGCCATTTTGAAAATCACTGTATTTTATTTTTTCACTATTCCTTCAAAATTGATTGAATTCTCACAATTGGTTCAAATGATTGATGGACCGATCCACACAAAACTGCCTGTAAATGCCTTTTTTTTGCCTCTGCCCAAAAGTTTTGATGACACAAACTGCTGATGCTGACCCAAAATCAGATGAGAAGCTGTATCTCAATAGTAGCAAAAAACTAGCAAAACCAAACATGTTACGCCTCACAAGCACCAAGATCTGAGGATACCTGCCAACTTTGGGGACAGCGTCACCTACAGGTCATGAGGTATGAAAAATGGCTATTTTTACTCGTAACTTTTGAAATGTTTGTCAGAAAATCATAAACTGTAAGAGTAAACACCAAGCTACACTAAACTAATGCTTTTATCTGTTTGTGTTTCTCACCAGTGGGTCGGCATCACTGTCACTCTGCGTACTCTGTTTGTTAAGGCCCTCTCTGGAGGCGGAGTATCCATCAAAGCCCACGTCCTCTGGGCGGAGCTGCAGCAAAGCTGGCCAATCAGGGTGCTGATGAGAAGCTGCCCATGGAAAAGTCTCCAGAACCCACAGCGCAGGATCCTCCCATGCAGCTCTGTGACCGTACAGCTAAACAAACACAAACAAACAAACAGACAATCGATAAATTGTTTGTTTCTATAAATTGAGAGATATGGAGAGGCAAGAAAGAACTACTTTGTGCGAGGTCACTTTTACAATGAAATTTAATAAAAAAAGACATCAGTGACTGTGAAAAAGGTAGATTTTACTATA